AGTGATTGATCACTTGCAAAGTGCCAATATAAAATGACGTTTGTTTTTCTTCAATTTAAAATGACAGTACCTAACCCTAAATTTTTTTTTTATTCCTTTCTGACTGAAAACAACCGGGAATATTTGCTGTGATTTCAGCAGCTAAAGGGAAGCAACCAGGAAAAGAGAAATAGAAACAGAGACAGGGATCATAAAAGAGAGCAAGAAAGAATACTTTCTAAAGACAGGAATGTAAGAAAAGAGGCTTTAATGTAAATGTAATACAGTCATGATAATTTAACTACTACATAAGCATGTAGTGCAAAAAAATGGCCACATAAACGTGCTAGGTAAACTTTAAGGATACAGAAATGAGCCATTTATTGCTGTGATACCTCAGAGGTGAGCTAAAATTATTTCCTAAATAACAGATTTCTACTCTTGCTGAATTATTGTGCAGCCAAGGGGCAATAACTTCCACCTAATCTTTCCCTTGGCTATCTGTAAAATCAGAAACATGAACCAGATCCAGGTAATCTTCGGGTGCCACTTTCAGAGAGGAATCCTGGAAACTTTTCTGTGGAAAATCGAGCCACCAAACAGTTCACATACAGGTTAATTACCCAAGTGGTTAAAACCTACAGAATTGGAAAAACATAGATAATATCATGTCAACTGAAAAACGTGTGTGTGTGTGTGTGTGTGTGTGTGTGTGTGTGTGTGTGTATGTGTGGTACTGGGGATCAAACTCAGAACCTTGCGCTTGCCCGGCAGGGGCGGTGCCACTGAGCTACATCCCAGCCCAAAAAACTTTTGATAGTGTGCATGTTCTTTTGCTTTTTAGGCCCTAACATCATAAAAAAGTAAATCAAACTTGACCAGATATTTTTCAGAACCTCTATTGCAAGAAAAGTTTACTTAGATGTCATATAACATTTTCTCTCATAAAATACTGAGATTTCTAAGTAATACTTAAATCTCCCAACATTATTAAGTCAACTTTAAAATTTGTTTCTTTCAGTAATTTGAACAATGAGCAGAAATGACAAGTTTATATTAACTTTTATAGTATACATTCATATATCTATTTAATAATATTTCACCTGATTTAGATATGGAAGTTTGACCAATGGAGCCATTTTTTATTTTAATGCTTATTCAATTTTAAATTCAATGCAATATATCATTATGGCTTTACTGGTTGATGGTAATTTTATCAAGCATTGTAATTCTTATATGAAAATAAATTTTTTAGATACAGACTTAGGTAAGTGCAGATATATTCTAAATTAATGATACATAGGGCTGAAAATTTAATCTATGTATTTTCCTTGATAAGAATTTCAACTTATTTTATAGGTCCATAGTTATACATTGCACTTTTTAAACAATGCTTCTAAAAACTGGATAAAATATAGAGGGAAAAATAAGTTGACATTATATATTTGGTTAATAAAAGTTTAAAAATTAGTTTTTCAACCTTGGGAAAATTTTATACTTTAGGTAACTAAGTATTCATCCATCTCTTTAAAAACTGGATAAAAGTTAAAACCTTAAACTCCTAAGTCAGATGCTAGTATGAGGAGGTAAATTGGACATATACTGTAGCCAGCTGCACTCTCTCAAAAGCATTATAATCGAACATAGAAATGTAAAAAGGAATGAAATGGTAGGGGAAAACTACGGCCATAATTTATTATCTTTAGAATTGCAGAGAAGGTGGATGCAGACCTGACCATGAGAAGACCAGACAGATTGTAGGTTCAGAATTGAAAAGTCCTACGGAGCAAACAAGTTTAAAAGGAGACTCAAAACAGGCACTTAGGTGATGGTCTCTTCAAACATCAAGCATTCAGTACTTACCTCTAAGAAAAAAAGGAAAACAAATAGAAAGAAAAGGATGAAAGGAAGGAAGCGAGGAAGGGAGAAGGCAAGGAGGGAGGGAGGGAGGGAAAAAAGAAAATTAAAATAGGAAGAAAAAATAGAGTGGAAATGGGGAGTCTGTAGCGAATGGCAGAAGATGTGGGCAGAAAGGCAAGCAAGGATTCAAGAGAGGACACTAGTCCTCAGCTTACCAGGCCTTTTGGAGTTTAAAGAGCCCTTTATCTGCCCATAGGTTTTTTGGCCCCATGCTAAAGTGTTTCCTTCTAAGGACACATCTCACCTCCACTCTACTTCACACATTACTGCCTGTTATAAAGAGACCTCAAGGGAAAGGTCTCTCATATCTCATATATAGAACAGTAGAAAACACCCACACCATTCTATATATTGTCTTTCTTTTGAAAATATAAGTGTGCAAAACAAGACCTGTGAGGAGAGTCAGCATAGAAGAAAAAGACTAAGATGAACAGAACATCTCCATGAGATAATTTAGGTAATAGAAGAAAACTTTTAAAATCCAATAAATATTCAAGGATTTTGAACATTATGTCATATCCAAAAAAAAAAAAGAATTATTTGTAAGGAAAAACGCTCAGGCACAAAGCAAACCAGAGCTATTAAAAATGAAAACTAGTGGGTGAGGGATTTAGCTCAGTGGCACCACACCTGCCTTGCAAGTACAAGGTCCTGAATTCGATCCCTAGTACCCCCCCCACAAAAAAAAGGACAGAAAGAAAAGAAAACTAGTTATAAAAAATTTTTCAATTCTAAAAATCAAGAAAATATTACAGAATATGAACCAGAGACAAAGGGGGGAAATATACACATATACTCTTCAGTAATTGTAGTTCTTAGAGAGAAACAATGGAGAAAGTAGAGGGAAGTATTACCACAGAAATAATATGAGGTTTTCCTAGACTAATGATTGAGTTGCTTACTAAGTAACCACCACACTTGATGATAAAAGTTTTAGAGCTAAACACATTTTTGAGAAATATGAACACCAAATGAAGAAAGACAAAACCTTAAAAGCTTTCAGAAACAATACTAAGTGGCTGCAAAGGAAGAAAAATCACATGAATATTGGACTTTCCATCAGTGACACTGGAAGGTAGAAGATGAAAGGGGAATTCCTCAAAAGTTGCTCTGGCCTAGAATTCCACATGTAGTTAAACTATCAGTCAAGTATGATGGGAGTAAGACATAAATGTTACATAGATGCATGGGCTCAGAAAGTGTAAACCCTATCACCTTTCTTAGAAAGTTAGTTGAAGATGTATTCCAGTAAATTTAAAAAGTAAACTACAGATCCATCTCAGAAGAGTAGACAAGTCCTGAGGAATGGAAATACTGTAAAACCTAGAGAGAAACCAGGCCAGAGTAAGAGATATGTTGGGCTTAAAATGCAAAGCATAATTCTAGGACAAAAATAATAAAGAAGAGACAACAGCCTAAAATGTGGCCATTTATGGAATATAAGAAAAGAAAATCCACTTGATCTTGATGCTAGCAAAATTCTTGTTCTACTGATTTGAGACATTGGACCTGAAGAGATATAAATGTAACCTTAAGAAACTCGCCCAGAAAGGAACAATATTTACCTTGTCACAATAATATTTATAATTACTCTGCACACATGCACACATTCTAAAATTGTAATCCAACCCAGAAGATCCTAGAATTCTTGACTATTATTACAGGATAAAATGTAAATGTTATCAGCCCCAAGAATATAAAAATATTTATTTTATTTATTGATTTTGGTACCAGGGATCAAACTCAGGACCTTGCACTTGCAAGGCAGGCGGTGGAACCACTGAGCTAAATCCCAAGCCCCAAGAATATAAAAATAAAAATTGACAGAATGACAGAATGAGGAATATGGATGGTTAGAGCAAAATGACTCTCATCTTTCAGTTTAGGAATGAGGAAATATTGTCCAAAATTCATAAACCAAGAAACAGAAGCTTAGGTGTAAATTTAAATTATAAGTATCATCAATAAAAGAATATTTTATATAATATATAGTGAAAATATAATTCAATTAATTCAATATAATTCAATAAAATTACAGGAAGTGTTCAATTGATTCTATCAGAATGTTGATAAATCCAGAAATAGAGAAATGTAAAGAAATGTTATACAAAGATATGAAGATAATCAGTAAAAATTATAAAGAGAATGGATAATTTTGTCTCTGTGCATCAAGTCTGGGGAGAGCTGTGATTGTTGCTTTGAGTTATATAACCTCCAACAAATATATGCATTATTTAACAAATATGTATAGGTTACTTTGAGAAAAACTCTTCCTTCCAAAATTTAAAAAGTAATTTTAAATCATCAAGATTTTGCTTACTCACAATAAACACCTGTAAAGATAATACAATCTGGTATGGTTCATTTATGGAAGAAAATGATCACATATTCCATTTTCTGAGCACCTACTGTGTGTGAGGCCAGATGCTGAGAACTTTTGTACCCACTTTGTGAAGATCACAAAAAGGTGGGTATTATCCTGCTCATTTCACAAGCATGGAAACAGAGCTTCAAGGGATTTAAGTAACCAGTGCAAGATAACAAAGTGATTGAGTGGTGGAGGAAAATCTATTCTGAAGCCTAAAAAATGTTTAAAAACCAAATGAGAGAGGTTGCATTAAACGGCCCCTTGAGGTCTATTTCAAATCTGACACTTTCTGATTCCACCAGCAGCCGGAATATAAAGCCTACTTAATTTTCTGTGTCAATCTAAAAAACAGACATCAAAATCCATTAGGAGCTACTCAGTTTTATTTTCAGGGACTGGGGTTTGAGGACCAGAAAATTCGCTACCACAGACTGGGGAGTTGTCACTTGCAGGCCCTTTGTACATCTGGTACATCTGTGTCATATTTATAGGGACTTTATTCTATTAATGCTCTCTTGGGGCTACAATATTTCTGTATGCAAAAATATCACACTGTTATAGGATAACAGTGAATCAAACAAACAAACAAAAAAAAGGTCTTTTTATCAAAGCTTAGTTTATGTTTATTTTAAGAGTGTTCAAAAATCCACTCCATGCGGTTAGGTTTTACAGCTCATGAAAACAGGCTCCAGATTTACAGATATTTCATAACATTCCTATCAGCATACAAGAGCTTCTTTCACAGCTGGCACAGAGTGTCCTTTCTTCTGTCTCTTCTAAATTGGTGGGGAGCTCCTTAGATCTCCTTTTGCGAACATTTTCTCTCCTGGCAGTGGGGAATCACAAAGGGAACGCTATTGATCTGGTGCTGAAGTGAAAATTTCCACACGATGAGATCGCTAACATAAGTACAAGTTCAGGCAGGAAACCAAAGATTTTATTAATTATTGCTGGTCTTGTTGTTATTAAAAATATATTGAGGCTACTAGGAAAGGGGGGGGGAGATGGAGAGAGAGAGAGAGAGAGAGAGAGAGAGAGAGAGAGAGAGAACACAGGGATGAGAGATGGGAATGAATGCCATTCTGCGGACACCCCACCAGCACTCACCAGAGGAAATCAGGTTGCTGCCAGTTTGGCTGGGGTTCAGCGCCATCTGCATAGTATTTAAAAGTGAGAGCCAAACTCTGAGCTATTTTATTGGAGTTAGTAAGGAAGCTCTCCAATCTATATCTGAAACTCAACTGTTCCAGCTTCTGAGCATCACTAAAAAGAGCTTATGGAGGTCAAGGAACTTAAAAACAGCATGAGAAGCCGCTTTACAGTCCATATTAAACTGGGAATCAGTAGCCTGTGCATTTGGGAAGACCACTTGGTCTCTAATCGATGGGGGGAAAATCCTGCAGTAGTTCTTGTGGAGAAAGATAAAGGGTAATAATAGTACTAATAGAATATACAGAGTACTTGCTGTTTCGTGATTTTAACATTCATTAATTCATTCAGTCCTCACATTAACCTTGTGCGGTAATATTATCCACATTTTGCAGGTGAAGAATCTCCCAGGATGAATCGCTGGATTAGGAATTCTAGCTCTAACATGATTTTTAATTTTTATTCTCTCAGAATCCAATACTTGTTTTGGCTCCCAAGTGACTCAGAAGTGTGCAAATGTGATTCTTAGTTGCTTTCAATATCCATGAAACAGTGAAGAAAAATAGATTTGAACTGGCTAATAAACTTACCCAGAAGCATAGTTAATAACAGTAACAGCTAACATTTATGGAATGCTTTCCACTGCCAAGCTCTGCTTTCCATGTAATAAATTAAATAAATTCCTGTAACAAACCTGTAAAGGAGGTGTCATGATGCCCACTGACAAATGAGGAAACTAAGTTACACAGTATTAGGTAACCTGTGGGGTGGAGATCACAAAGCTAGCAAAAGGTTGAGGCAGGATTTAATCCCAGGCAACAAGCTCTTGTTCAGGAATTTACCACTATCTCCAAAACTTAGTGGTTAAAACTAACAATTGATTACTTCTTTCAGCTCTGTGGGAAAAGAAAGCTCAGTGCGTGGTCTCACTTGGGGTCTCTAAAGCAGCTATAATGATCAGAAATGAGAGCTGAAGGCAAATTAAGATGTCTAGGTTCATATCTAAAATGGCCTCTCACTCAAATTGGGCACCTTTGATCAAAGATGGTTGGGGCCTGAGTGCCCTACCCCTCTCTCTACTGCTACTTATCTGTCCACCAACCCTATTTATCTGTCCACAGAGCTGTTACTTCCAAGCAGTATCACGATCGGAATGTAGTAGGTTTCTTATGTAGCACCTGGCCTCTCCCTTTGTGAACATCCAAGAGACCCAAGAAAAAGGTTTGAGCCTAGTTTCTATTTACCTAGCTCAAGGGGTCCTACAGCATTACTTTCAGTGCATTTTATTGGTCAAAAGCAAGTCACAGGGCCAGTACAGATCCAAAGGTGTAAATCCCAGGAAGCCTGATCCACTGGGGGCCCATCGCTGGAGACCAGTAGCATGGCTTTTAGCTCCATTTATTTGATGATTATCCTATTAACTCCAGTTTAACAAAGGCAAAACGATGCTACTGAAAATAAGTATATAGGCAATCCTTTCCAAAATAATAATCTTCTTCTACTAGAGAAATCTGTAGAGGTGGCTCTGATTCTGACTTGGGATGATGTTATCAGTGAGAGAAATTCCAAAAATGTCTGGAAAGACTCTAAGCCTCATTAGGTAAGGTAAAAGTTAACCTTTTTCTTATTGCTACACTTTGGAACAAAGTTGAAAGCCTCCCTAGAATGCAGACATTTTCCTGATTGAGTTCTTGTCCTGGGTTTAATGCTAATCAACCTTGAGACCAAGTCACTTAATTTCTCAACAACGGTTTCCTCTTCCTTTAAAAGACAATTACAGGGTTTTTTCCATTGTGGGATTGATGAGAGGATCAAATGAGATTATGCTCATGAAAGTATTTTGGAAACTAAAAGCAAAGCCCTTGTCACTATCAGATTTGGCTAAGGATGGATTATTGATTGGGTGGATGTCTCTTCCTAGGCTGTAAGCTCCATGACATCAGGGATTCTCATGTGCAAGGCAGCATTCTCATTGCCTGGAGCAGGGTTTAGCCCATGGTTAAGGAGATCACGTGCTCTGTCACCCAAGGAACACTTTTAAGTGTAAAGAGTCATCTGTAATGACTATGCTATAGAACAAAAGGTGCACAGCAGATGTGTGGAATCTTATTCTATTTGATAGTCAATAAACGTTTGTTAAATATACCTATTACTTATGTTATACATTATTTATTTTCCCTTTCTCATGAATTTCTTGTCCTTTTCTTCTCCCTCATCCTTCACCCCCTCTTATGTAATTTTATCTTTATCTCCAAAGCCCAAACTAGAATTCCATTCCTTACCTAACGATGAGTTGACCCTTTCATTAATAGATTTCCACTCCGCTATAGCATGTCCAGCTACCGCCCAGGAATTACAGTGACATTGTATCAATTCCTTGTGTTATTACTCAGTGCCTACAACACAGCAGACTCCACCTCAACTGGTGAGACAGCAGTGACCAAGACAAGCAAAACCCACACCTTCAGCAAACTTACATTCTTGGGAAGAAAGACAGACAATAAACTTACAAACGCAGCAATCTCAGATTGTAATAAGTGTTATGAAGAATACCAAACAAGAAAATCCAGTAGGCAACAGAAGGTTTTAGAACAGAGAGTCTAGAGAAAGGAGGCATTTAAGCTGAGATCTGAATGCGTGCAAGATCCAGGCTTAGGAAGGGCTAAGGAAAGTGCTCAAAGAACAAAAGGCTGAGGGAGGAGGGCCTTGGTTAGTCCATAGAGAGCGCCCATGGGCAGAGCCCAGGAATTATGCTTAGAGGGAGCTGGCTTCAAAGTCACTTCCGCCTATGTTAGGACGCTGACTCTCCTTATGCCAATCTGAGCTGACTTTTCATGGTTGATGTGAGAATTACACAAGATAAATGATTTTGAAGGGTCCTATACATAGTGCCAAAATTACTGGAGGGTCTCAAATAAATTCTCTTAATTCAGAAAGAGCTGTCTTGATAACCTAGTAGCCCAAGAATTAGACACAAAAAAAATTAAAATTAATGTCAGCTATAATGATCTTTGTTTTGCTTTATTTTACTTTGCCCTTGATGGTAACTGGAAATTCACAAATGTGGTCAATCTGAATATAGATTGGCAGGATTTAGGTTGGGATAAGCCCATTATCATTTCTGGAAACTCTGTTAGCACCCCAGGCTTGGTGCCCTTTTCCTGCGTCCTAATCTGCTGGTCTCAGAGTCACTCACACATCACTATTAATTCTCCATCGAATATAACCACTACCCAGGCACCAGGCTCCCTCTCTGCTTTTCAACCTTCACCGTATCCAACTCTGTCTCTTTCACAGAATGAAATGCTATTTCTAAAGAAAGCTCAAGCTAGTCAGTGCCTGCTGAAAGGGACTGAGCTTTCGAGTTAGACCTTGGCCTTTTTGTGCTTGTCCTGAGCTACACCTGTTGTGAGGTACCATACCAGCTGCTCTCCACGGAAATGGACAGCGTACGACGTCCTTTGTGCAGCTCTGCAGGTGCATTAATTATAGACTACCTGGATGCATCTAGAACACTTGGCAGTAGCAAGACTGCAGTTAATGTTCTGTTAAACAATGTCTCCAATGGTGTGTATTGTGAGAATTATAAGAGACATTCTGATAATGGTTGAGTATAATCCAGGAGTCATTTGATCACCTCAGTTGCATCCCCCACTCAATTTTATCACAAAATAAATCTTTTTGCTTTGATAATAATCTCTCCAAATTGATAATAAGTATCAGCTTTGGAATAAGGTAAGAGAGAATTATAGTCTTCCATGAAAATAATTTCTAGTCAGTGAAATTCATTAACATTACAGAAATGTTGGCTCTTGTGTGAATGTGCCCTAGTTCTCTCAGAAGCCGGGAATCCCAAAGGCATTTTCTTCCTTTGATTTCAAATGTGGAAAAATTCAGTTCTGCCAAAGATTGCATCTTTTAAAAAGGTGAATTTGATAAGATTTTTTTCACCAAATGCATAAGAAACCAAAGCAATTTGAAGGACCTGTGATGAAAATTAAAAAGTGCTCATGTGGAAGAATCAGCATGTGGATCTGTCATTTGAAAAATAATAAAGGTAATTAAACCATCCTTTTTGACTTAGTCCAAGGAAAACCCACTAAGATGAAACCAGTTTGCCAGCTCATTAGGTAAAGTACATAAAGACAGTGAGAATCATCTCAGTTCCCTTGAAGCTCAGAGAGCTTCAGAGAGTGAATCAACCAATAGTGAAAGATTGGCCAGAAGAGCATCTGTACCAGAGGGACAGCGCGTGCCCCTAGTCTTACTTTTGTTTAAGAAAATGTTTTCGAAGGCCATTCTTCAACTCGTACAGGGAGATGCAAGTGATGACAGGGGCTGGAAGGCTTCTTATTAGAAGGAAAGACTTAAGGAATCACACTGTTGGAACTGACCAGCTCCGGAGAAAGCAAGTTTCCAGTTACTCCAGTCCAGCCATCTTGTAATAAAAATGGAGAGATGTGAAAGAAGACTTTCCAGGGAAAGTTATTCATGGCCACTTTTTGGCAGCTCCTCCAGTTCCCTCAATGGCCCATTAGTGACTAACGAGAACAGCCATGTTGAGTACTGAAAAGGACAAAGCAGAGAAAACAGGAAAAGAATGCTTTGCCAAACAACTAGACATGTACTAGTACTTAAATTCAATGCCGGGAATTGGGCCCTCTGCTTTTGGAGACC